ATGAAATTGAACGTGCACCCATAATACGTCTATTTGACTTTTAAAATTTTGTCGAATGCTTTTTCGCTGTTTCTCCACACGTCACGATAGGCACCGGCACCGGTACCGGCCGATAGGTAGGAGAAAATAATCGGCCAAGATCGGCCCACCGGCCAAATGTGGCCACCGGTACAGCACTAGAAAATACTTCATTTTCTTTTCTAGAGGGATTTCCTCAGGCCAAGAATGATTATGTAGTAAGTAATCGATGGTCTGAAGTTTCTCCTTGGAGCATCCAGGCAGCCTGAAAGGCCCGTTATGATGTTTCTTTCAGTCTACACCTCCGCTTTCTATGGGCATATGAAAATCAAATTTTGGTATTTGCTGTCAGAGGATAAATAGCCAACATCAACCCTTGACGTGATAGGATTTATCAAGAGGTACTAATCGAAAAGGGTTTCTGTCATTGATTATATTTTAGCCCACGAAGCACAACTAATAGGAAAAAAGCAAGCAGCACTAAAGAGAATACAGAGGCAATGAGAGTCAAGACTTCATCAAGTTTAAAGCAGTTTCCCGTTGTAGTGAATTTAATAAGAAACTGGAAGATATTAGTAGTATCCCACTCATATCATACACAGGTACATCACTGAGGCCCATGATTCCGTGGAAATCCTTGCATTGGTGAGTGGTTTTGAGGAGAACCTGCAACTTCCTTAAAGGTTAAGTTCGATAAAGGATTGAACTACGTTTTAGCACACCCGTGAACTCTGTCGCATTTATAGCATGTTTTACTTCGGCTAGAGGCTCCCTTTATCATTGTCGTGTCTCTCAAGTTTTAGGAAGAAATTGGGAAAAGCCCCACGTGAAGAAAAAGTGTGCAATATTGCAGAGCCATGACTTGTTGCATTCGCCTCCTAATGTGCAACTCCCCCCAGTCATGGGCGGCGCCATACTTGAAACCTGCCATCTAGTACTAGTGCACCGAGCGAATAGCGAAGTCGGCAATAGGTGATTTTGAGCCGCGAACAAAATTCTCACGTTGGAACTATAGACGGAACGAACCGGGAAGAGGAATCGAAGTCGAATCCTCGGGAGTCCTCTCGAGTCCACGATGACCTTCAAAAGGTCTCTTTAAGGTCTTCGGGTCATTAAAGTCCTTGAATAGTAATTGAATAACAAAAAAACCGAATCCTTCACCGTCGTCGTTCGGCACCGGAATCGTCCGCCGGAAAGGCACCTGTCGAGGAAATGGATGAGATTCGAATGAGGAAAATCGACACGATGCACATGCTCGGTTCCAGCGCGCGAGACTGGCTGGAGCTCTTACCGGTCCCGGTGAATGACACGAAGAGTGAAGGCCGATCCGCGTTTCTTCGCTGGAACTGCGTGGTCGGAGGGCGGAGATGTGGACATGTCAGACACGTTCCTTCAGTAAAATGGGACGATGCTTTGTTTTCTTCGGGAAATTTCGTTCGTCGAGGATCGATTCAAGATCCCTGGCAGTGAACGGACGATGTTCGAGCAAAGTGGCTTTATATTCAATCGTGACTATCGTCTTGGGCTTCCACTCGACTCCTTGCGTACCGAGAAACCTTCCGACCCGGAAAGGTAGCGAACCGTGGCTTGGCACCGATAAGTTATTATTAATCTCGGAGATTTACGATTAACGATAATGTCAGACTCGAGAGTCGAGCGCTTCGAAAAATACCGGAAGTAAAAAAATTGTGAACCGCTTCGAAGTCGCCACTTTCTATACTGCATGAGAAAACTACCTATGCATATCGGTGAATATAATGTATTACAGGAAACTCTGATCCGCGCCAACAAGTCACGGAGTCGCCTTTAAAAACCTCTTAAAACGAAATTCCTTCCTCCAGTGCGACACTTGAGCGAAATTTGTCGGGCATCTACCCCAGCGCATTTTTCGTCCATTCTCTGAGGCTGGCAGCCTTGCTCCCGATCAGTTCCTCGTAACCGTCCATTTCGGCCTTGCATTTCGACAGCCATTCACGCACGTGCTCGTGCTTCGACACGTCGAGCAGTTGCACCATCTGCGAGTACGAAAGCGACGGAAAACCTAGCTTTTCAGAGCGGATAAGTTCTGCCGAGAGTGCCCAATTCTGACCTCGATGCAGGCGATGGAAACGAGTAATGCGAAGTCGGCAATGGTGAGGCGATTCCCAGCCGCATAGCCTCCGGATTTACCGATGTAAATGTCCAAAATTCCCAGGGCTTCATCGAGTTTGCTCAACACCGTCTCGTTCACGGACTTCTTTCCGTCTTCCACTGTCAGGAACTGCAAAGAGATGAAAATTAAATTTCTGAGAATAACTTACCGAATGAAATGACCGAAACTAAATGATGCGACCTTCACTCGAATGAAAGCCACAAAACATTTAAAATTTTGTCCGAGTTTGACGAAACGAACCGAGTAGAGGAATTGCATTCTCGCACTGAGAGTTCCAGCGTCGAAGTCCAACCTTTGATCCACGACGGCCCTTTCCTTCAAGTCCTTGGGATAAAGGCTATCGTCCTTCCCGTATTTTCCGACCAGGTAGCGAAGGATCGCTCGGCTGAAGCAAAATATTTTCTCCCTCTAACA